TTTTGTGCAGGGTGATAAATATGATTCTATTTGCATTTTTTTCTGCCCTCTCTTCTGAAGTGTTCTCTAAGCCTTAGAGAAGTGATGTAGATGAACCATTTATAGTTGAGCGTTCAACAATCATTCTTCTAATTACTTTAAGTAGTTATGAGTCTCTGCAGGTATTCTTGCCCACTGCAAAATGAAGCTTCTCTGACCAAAACAGAAAAGAGTTCTATTCTTCAGTCCTAGGATAGTTATTAAAAGGCAACTTGGTAAGCACATCATCTCTCTATTTAGTAAAACAATGGCAGCTTTCTCACTAGGGCCTATGATCTTCCTAGCCACGGTCTTTGGATTAAGTTTACAGAATCAGAAATTTGAGACCTGTGACTCAAATCCAATCAGAAAGTGGTTGGTTACCTTTTAACAGACTTGCCATTATTGCATCATTGGACACACCTTGCCTGGCTGGTCAGTCTTGCTGCACACAGGATTTATAGCTAAGTAAAACTGTTGATGACAGTTCTCCTTTGGCAGTCTATATGGCATCTCCTGGGACTGTGAGGTCCAGACAGGGGTTAGCAGGCACACACATGATTCACAGACATACAAACAGGCAGACAAATATATATATAATATATATATATATATATATAATTAGTATATATATATAATATATATATTATATATACTATAATATATATAGTATATTATATATACTATAATATATATAGTATATTATATATATTATTAGTATATATATATATACTAATAAATAAAATCAATTTTAAAAGATTTATTTTTAAAAAACAGCATTGAAAAAAGCTAATGTCCCTTGTATTTATTACATGAAACAAGTTACCTCAAAACTTGTCTTACCATGGATTCAGGACACAGAGAAATGAGGCTGGAACTGGGCTGGGAGCTTTCTTTCTATTTGCATTTTTCTACATGTAGACATCCAGTTAGACCAGCACATTTATTGAAGGTGCTGTCTTTTTCCCCTTGTATGGTTTTGGCTTTGTGTCAAAAATTAAGTTTCCATTGGTGTGTGGGTTTATTTCTCGGTCTTTGATTCGATTCCATTTATCCACCAGTCCGTTTCTACACCAGTACTATACAGCTTTTATTACTGTTGCTCTATCATACAGTTTGAGTTCATTGATACAGATACCTCTAGAAGATCATTTATTGTACAGGATTATTTTAGCTATTCTAGTTTTTTGTTTTGTTTTGTTTTGTTTTTCCATATGAAATTGAAAATTGTTCTTTCAAGATCAGTAAAAATTGTTTTGGTCATATGGTATATATTCACTTATAAGTGGATGTTTTCCATATATTGTAGGATAAATATACTAAAAGCTATAATCCTAAAAAGCTAAACAACAAGAAGGACCCTAACTAAGATGCTTACTTCTCTTTTAGAAGGGCAAACAGAGTAGACATAAAAGGTAAGAGAAGACAAGAAACAGAACAGGAGCCTTCGACAGAGCACATCTGAAAGTCTCTACCCACCAGGATATTGAAGATGATACTGAGACCCATGACCAAACTTTTAGCAGGGTGCCAGGATCCTTACAGAAGAAGAGGGAGATAGAAAGACCTGGAGGAACAGAAACTACACAAAGAGAACAGAGCCAAAAAATGTGGGCCCAGGGGGGTCTGCAGAGACCAATACTCCAACTAAGGACCATGCATGGAGAGGATCTAAGCCCCCTGTTATAAGGAAGATCATGTGTTACTCAGTTTCCAAGTGGTTTCCATCATAAGCCGTACAGGGACTGTCTCTGACATGAACTCATTGGCTGGTTGTTTGATCACCGCCTCCTGCGGGACACAGCCCTTCCAGGCCAGAGGAAGATGATACACCAAACTTGATGAGTCCTGATAAGCTAGGGTCAGAGAGAAGTAGAGGAGATCCTCTTCTATAGGATAATTGGAAAAGGGCATTCAGGGAGATGGGGGAGGGTGAATGTGACTGGGATGATCCAAGGTAGGGGGCTGTAGAGGCGATACAAGGTGAATAAATTGTAATAAATAACCAAATAAATAAAAAATTAAAATGTGTTGATATTTTGATGGGAATTGCATTGAATCTGTAGATTGCTTTTGAAGGATAGCCATTTTCACTATGTTAATCTTACCAAACCATGAGCACGGGCTGAAACCACACTGAGAAGGGAAAACAGGATAGACATCAGATGTAGGAGAAGATAAGGGAAAGGACAGGAGGCTTCCACAGGGGGTCTCCAAAAGGCTCTACACAGCAGGGAATGAAAGGAGATACTGAGAATCATACCCAAACTTTGGACAGAGTGTGGAAAACTTTATGGAAGAAGAGGGAGATAGAAAGACCAGTAAGAGACAGGAACTGCACAAGGAGACCAACAGAGCCAAAAATCCAGGGCTTTTTGGTGCCTGCAAAGACTGATACTCTAACCAAGGACATTGCATGGTGAGAACCTGGATCCCCTGCTCTGTTTCCAAGTGAGTTTCTTATTATGGGAAGCAGGGGCTGTTTCTGAGTTCATGTCAGAAACATGATCACCCCCCCCCCTTGGGGGAGTGCTGCCTTGCCAGGACACAGAGGAAGATAATGCACCAGCTTTGATGAGACTTGATAGGCTAGAGTCCAATAGAAATGGAGGAGGTCCTCTCTTATCAGTGGAATATGGAAGAGGCATAAATGGAGAGAGTGGCTGTGACTGGGAGGACCTGGAAGGGGCTACAGCCAGGATACAAAGTGAATAAATTGCAATTAATTAATTAATTAATTAATTAATTAAAATTATAAACTATTTTAAAACACCAAAACTTTTAAAGCATAGTAGCACTCAGAAGGCCCCAGAAGCTTCCCACATCTATTATTCTTCACTTCAGCTGCAAATGCTTCATCAGTGAATTCTAGTTTGGAGGGTGAAGTTCTGCAATTTCTTACCCTTTTCCACTGAATCAGGGCATGAACCTTTGTCTTAGTCTCCTGTCTTTTAGTCTTCCCAGACAGCCTCCTCCTGGCTTCCACTTCCTCATCACCTACTCATCTAAAGAAATGGTGTTCATCATCACTCTTTTTAAAAATCAATTAGGAATAGTGCTTCCTCAAGACCCAGCTATACCACTGCTAGGTATATACCCAAAGTTTTTTCAAGTACACAAAAGGGATATTTGCTAAACCATGTTTATAGAAGCTTTATTTGTAATAGCCAGAACCTGGAAACAACCCAGATGTCCATCAACGGAGGAATGGGTACAGAAATTGTGGTATTTTTACACAATGGAATACTACTCAGCAATCAAAAAGGAGGAAATCATGAAATTTGCAGGCAAATGGTGGGATCTAGAAAAGATCATCCTGAGTGAAATATCCCAGAAGGAGAAAGACAAACATGGTATATACTCACTTATATAGACCTATAAGATATGATAAACATAATGAAATCTATACACCTAAAAAAGATAATCAAGAGAGCGGACATGGGGTAAGATTATCAATCCTCGTTTAGAAAGACAGATGGGATGTGCATTGAACATATGACAGGAGTCTACTGAGCGCATTTGAAAAACTCTAACTAGCAGTGTTTTCAAAGCAAAGACTCATGACCAAACCTTTGGCAGAGTACAGGGAATCATAAGAAAGAAGGGGAGTTAGTCTGATGGGGAAAGGATAGGAGCTCCACAAGGACCAAATATATCTGGGCACAGGGTCTTTTCTGAGACTGACATGCAACCAAGGACCATGCATGAATATAACCTAGAACCTCTGCTCAGATGTAGCCTGTGGTAGCTCAGTAACCAATTGGTTTCCCATGGTGAGGGGAACAAGGACTATTTCTAACAGGAACTCAATGACTGGCTCTTTGGCCTCTCCACCCCCCAAGGGAGGAGCAGTCCTGTTAGGCCACAGAGGAGAGCTTTGCAGCCAGTCCTGAAGATACCTGATAAAACAGGATCAGATGAATGGGGAGGAGGTCCCCCCTATCAGTGGACTTGGGAAGGGGCACGGTGGAGATGAGGGAGGGAGGGAGGGACTGGGAGGGAATGAGGGATTGGGACACGGCTGGGATAAAGAGTTAATAAAATGTAACTGATAAGAAAAAAATAAAATTAAAAAAGTGAATAAAGTGTAATTAATGAAAGTTAAATAAAAAAATTTAAAAAAGAAAAAAAAATCCTTAACTCTCATTTGGGACTTGTTGTATCCCCAAACTGCTCATTTCTCATTCCACTTATTTACAGGCACATAACAATCTTTTTCTCACTCTTACTCCATTGTGCATCCCATTTTCTAGTCTTCCTGATACCATCTTTGTAAGCACAACTCTCTGTTTTGTATCTCTGACAATATATCCCTGCACCTTGCTCTCCTCTCACAATTTTAGTATAAAAAGAAAACAGAAAAAAATTGAATCATTTTCATCTCCATGAGCTAGAAGGCATGAAATCCCGTTTTCTTTAACCTTACTATGCCTCTAGCCCATTTTCTTGCCTCCTGCCCTGTACCCAGCCTGGAAATGTTACCTTGTTTATAAGCAACAGGTATGCTGTTGAAGACCTCATTTTATCCAGTAGCTAAGCTATTGACTCCAGAAAGACATGATTCTATGTATGGGTCCTTTCTCTGCTTACAATGGTTTTCACAATATCTATCATACATTTACTTCTTGTAGGTATTTTAAATTAGACATATGGCTGTTCCCAGCATGCTTAGCGGCATGACTCATATTCCCCAACCCCTTTGTGACATGTCCTGTGGGCTGTTCCTTAACTTTCCAGCAGTCACAGTTGTGTACTTGGTGAGAGGATCAGCCTGGTGAGGGTCAGCCTTGGTGAGAGGATCAACCTGGATTTTGTCAGGAAGGAGGTTGAGAAGAAAATGAAGATTCAACAAGGATTGAAGTACGACTGAGAGGACTGAGTCTGGAGGGAAGGAGGTAACAGTTTGACCACATGTGTGGAAGCTGTGTCTGTGACCATAGTGGAGGTCCACGAGAGTATTACTTGGCTAAGCTGCAAGAGGTATGGCAGTTGAATTTGGAGACCTTACCAGTGGCTTCCGCCACACTGAAGTAATCCGATTCATTAACAATGAAGTCCTTATGAATGGCGGGGGTCCTGAATTTTATATGACTTTTCGCTCGCGGCCTTGGAATGAGATAGAAGATCAGCTTTATACCATCCTTGTTGACCCCAAAGTGCCACGTTCCCTCAAAAGAGCTTGTACCTGGAGCGCTTTGGCTTTGAGTGTGAGAGTAGGTGCCAGGCAGCGTGAACAGCAGGCTCGTAGAATTGGGAGGCTGCAAGACCAGGTGGGAGAGCGTGAGTCAGCTTCCTGGACTCTGGCCTCTGAACTACAGCGGCTGAGAGAAGAAAGAGACCAGGCAGCTGCTCAACTGGCTTCTACACAGACTGCCCTACAAGAAGCAATGGATGAGAGGGAAATACTTCGTGGGAGGCTGCTGCAAGCAGAGAGGTCTGCATTAGCTGTTGTACCTGAACCTAGAACAGAACAGTGTGCATCAACAGGGTGGTCCCTTGAGGAAGAAGATCACCAAGAAATGAGATCAAGAGAGGCTCGGAACACACCTCATTTGGATACCCAGATGCCAAAACCACCAATCTTATCTTATGTGCCAGGAATTCCTTGGGTCCAAGCAGTGCATCCCTTTATTCGAATGCCTGTGCCTCATATACTACAACTCAATACACCATTACCCTTGGCATTCCCATATTCAACACCTGTACCATGTCCAGTAGTAACGGAATCAAGAGCACCAGCAGCAGCCATGGCCACAGTTGTGCCTCAGATGACTCCTGCAGGAATCTACCCACCTCGCTTGTGGGTTGCATTGAGATCCCAGGAAGCAATGTCTTCCTCCTGGGGCCAAATCTACTGTAGGCAGAATGAAAGTTCTGAGATTCTCCAGGATGTAAATCACTTGGAAGACAGCTTAAGCTACAGTGAAGAAGGTCCAGAGAAATCTTGGGGAGCAACTCTCCATGGGGACAGTATCAAGAGCAACCACAAGGAAAGTCTCGACAAACCCCAGGTGATGGTAGCCACTGAGAAGAAAAATCTAGCGATGTACCAAGAAACAGCTGCACTGGAGGTCAATACTAACCACAACATAATGGTTGTGTCAGGAATGCCCCAGGAGATGTCTGCTGAGGAGGACAAAACCAGATGTACCCAGAAGAAACATCCAGGAATTCCCAGGAAGGTGGTTGGAATGGGAGATTGCATCCACTGCAACACGGAAGAAGTTTCAATAACTCCCCAGGAGACAGCTACCCAGGTGAACAAAACCAGCCCTATCCTTAAAAAGTATCCAGGGATTCTACTGAGGAAGCCTGACCTGGGAAACATCATTAGCTGTAAGCAGAAAGAGGACCTGAAGACAAACCAAGGGGCAGTTTTCCTGGGAGAAGGACTCAGAAATTGCCAGAGGGATGACACAATCACTTTTCAGCAGATGACAATCCTGGATACTGGGGAAAATTCTAATGAAAAGAAAGTACAAATACTGACACAGGAGATAGGCAGGAGCCAGAACCAGAAAGAAGAGCCAAACAAGTTCCAATCAAGCCCCCTAGGGAAAAGCAAATATTATTTTGTGAATAAATGCCCTCCAAAACAACTGCCTCCAAAGCAGAAGTCCAAGCAACATCAAGGGATGAAGGTCTTTGAATCCAAGCAACTCCAAGGGACAAAATCCTCTGAAACTAAGCAACAGGAAAAAAAACCTCTCTCACACCATACTCCAATGAATTTGGTTTGCCCATCATGTAAAGCTATGAATCGCTCTTGGTGCAAAGGCTGCTACAAATGTGGGAAAGAATGTGTTCAATTTGAGAGAAAAGATGTTGACCCACAACAGACTCAATGATTTCAGAAAGGTATGTAATGTAAACAGTGCAAAAAGAAAACCAGAAGATCCACCACTCTCTTCTGATCCAACAGTAACATCACAGAAAAACTAAACACAAAATTATATAGAGAAAAATGAAATGTCCATTATCCTATTTTACAAATTAACTACATTTGCTCATTGTGGGAAGACACATATACATGCAAATATGCCCATATTTATGTTATTATTTTATTAACTTACTTGAACTAAGAATATTTTGGAATATCACTTCAATTTATAAATTGTGAATTTCTAATTATTTTATCACTGTTTTGCAGATGGTACAGTTGGTATGGCTGTTTCTGATTGTATGACATCTCTGAAGAAGCTCATCAGGAAGCCTTTTAAAAATCATGCTTTCATCTTCTTTTCTTAATTTCTTTTTCTTAAAAAGCATACATTCGACAGGAAGCAGCCATATGATTTTACAATAAAAACATTGTTGATTTTTTAACACCACTTTTCCCTGAAAATGATGTTAATTTTTGAAACTATTGCTATTTTTATGTTTGCTCTTTTTATATTCTAAATTTAATGGGACGGTCCTATTTAAGTGTCAGCGACTCCTATGTTTCTGTACTTGAAGAAGCTTCAAATACTCCCTTATAATAATCCCCAAAAGCTAAAAAAAAAATGATTATAAAGGAACCTCACCAGTGAGGTTCACATTGTCTTGAGACAAGAAGCATGATCAATTGAGAAAGAGGAGATTCTTTGGTCCTTATTGGGGTGGGGGGTAGGGGTGGAGAATGAAATAACTTTGCTAGGACAAAAATTAACTTGGAAGTGTATGCAGAGATGTAGTGTTAAAAGCATATTTGATAAATTTCGTACAATTCATTAAATATTTGCTATTGTTTAGTCCTTGCCTGGAGATGGAACTTCATGATTATTTTCTGGTAATCATTTCATGATCATTTTTGGTGAACTGGTTAGATGACATGTGAAAGCATAATTTGGAAAAAAAATAGGCTGCCATTTAGTTCTTTCATATAAACAAAATCTATTGTGTAAATGTACCACAGTTACTTTATCCATTCTTCCATTGAGGGACATTTAGGTTATTTCCAGTTTCTGGTAATTATGAATAAAGCTGCAAATGTCCTTGTTGTATGGTGAAGCTTTTTTTTTTTTTTTTTTTTTTTTAGGTGTATGCCTAGGGTGGTTTAGCTGGATCTTGATGTTTGGCTTTTCCCAGTTTTCTGAGAAAGTGCCAGATTGCTTTCCAAAGTGGTTGTAGAAGTTAACACTCTCACCATGGAGGAGTGGTTTCTCTTTTCCACATATTCTCCAGCATCTGTTGTCAGTTGAGTTTTTGATCTTAGCCATTCTGACAGGTGTAAGATGGAATCTCAGAGTCATTTTGATTTGCATTTCACTGATAACTAAGGACACTGAGAATCTTTTTAAGTACTTCTCCACTATTCTAGACTCCTCTGTTGAGAATTCTCTGTTTAGCTCTGTAGATCATTTTTTGAAAGTTCAAAGTGCAACTCCACATAAACTTTTTTATTTATTTCTTTTTATTTATCATTTATTATAATTTATTCACTTTGTATCCCAGCTGTAGCCCCTTCCCTCATCTCCTTCCATTTCCACCCTCCCTCCCTCTTCTCTGCATATGCTCCTCTCCTAGTCCACAGATAGGGGAGGTCCTACTTCCCAACTATATAACCCTAGCCTGTCAGTTCTCATCAAGACTGCCTGCATTGCCTTTTCTGCGGCCAGACAAGGCTGCCTTCTCACTGAGGGATGAGGGAGGTGATCAAAGAACATGCCACTGATTCCATGTCAGAGACATCCCCTGTTCCCCTTAGTAGGGAAACACGGTCAGACTGAGATGACTATGGGCTACATCTGAGCAGGGAGTCTAGGTCCTCTTCATGCATTGTCCTTGGTTGGAACTTCAGATTTTTTGGCTCTGTTGGTGTCTTTTTAGAGCTTCTGTCCATTTCAGATCTACTTATCTCTCTCTTCTTCCATAGATTGCCTGCACTCTGCCCAAGTTTTGCTTATGAGCCTCAGCATCTGCTTCAAAACCCTGCTGGGTAGATTCTTTCTGAGGCTCTCTTTGGTAGGTCCCTGCCTTGTTCCTTCTCTTCTCCCACTTCAGATATTTACACTGTTTGCCCTTCTGAATGAGGATTAACTATCTCCCCAATTATTTGGTTTGTTGGTGTTTAAATTCTTGAGTTCTTTGTATATTCTGGGTATTAGCTCTTTGTGGTATTTAGGATTGATGAAGATCTTTTTCCAATCTGTAGACTGTCTTTTCATTCTATTGAGTATCTTTTGCTTTACAGAAGCTTTTCGGTTCATCCATTAAAAACAAAGAAATCACGAAATTTGCAAACAAATGGATGGAACTAGAAAAGATCATCCTGAGTGAGGTAACACAGACCCAGAAAGACACAGATGGTATGTACTCACTTATAAGTGGAGTTTAGTCATATAGCACAGGATAGATATACTACAGTGTAAAGACCCCACGAAGATAAGTAACAAAAAGACCCTAGGGAGGACACATAAATTTCAATAAGAAAGAGAAATAGAATAAATGGAGGTAATGGTGGTAGAGTGGAAACAAGGACCATCAAAGCCAATCAACCAAGGCCCAGGGGGAACTATAGAGTCCTAAGCACCAACCAAGGACAATGCATGATCTAGACCTATGTCCTCTACTTATGAATACCTGATGAGCATCTTGGGCCTTATATGGGCCCAAGAGTCAGGGATGTAGGGAATACCTTAGACCTGGGTTATGATACCTACTTTTTGGTCACTTCCACCTGATGGGACTGCCCTACCAGATCATAAATGAGGAAGATGAATTCAATTCTTATGTGAAGAGATGAGGTAGAGTGTCTAGATAGGTGTGTTCCCCTATTCTGAGAAAAGGGGGAGGGAGAATGAGGATGGCTGTGTAGGACTGGGAGGAGAGAAGAGAGGAATCTATGGACAAGATGGAAATTAAACTAATCAATAAACTAGAATTATCCAGCTCCATATTTTTAGTCATGTCAAGGGGCAAAATTCAAGATTTTAGTGAATAGACTTTTATAAACAAACTGTTTCTCATTTTGGTCTCATGTGGGACAAATGACTAAGGACAAGATCCAAAAAACAGATTCATGAAAATGCAGGCAGGGCTTTTCTGAACTTCTTCCCATTTTCTTTCTTTTGTGTTACAGATGTTTTCCTGACTACCCACTAGCCTGCCAGCATGAGATGTCCTGAATAAAGTTCTTAAATTTACACTTTGGCCTTACTTCCCAAACTGCCCCTCTGCTAAGTACCTCTTCTGTTATCAGTGGATGGAAAGCAACATCAGGACAACCTGTACATGTTTGGTGTTTTCCTTGTCTGGATTAAATGAATGAAAACGAGAACTGGTGCATGGAAAAATCATTGTTTTACCTTGTGACTTGAAATATTTTTTATTAATTATTATTATTTATTACAATTTATTCACTTTGTATCCTAGTTGTTGCCCTCCCTCATCTCCTCTCAAGCATTTTCTCCCCTTCTTCTCTCCCTATGCTCCTCCCCTAGTCCACGGATACAGGAGGTTCTCCTCAATTTCTACCTAACCCTAACCTGTCAAGGCTCATCAAAATTGGCTGCATTGTCTTTTTCTATGGCCCAGCAAGGCTTCACCCCACAAGGGGAGGTATCAGAAAGCCTGCCACTGAGTTCATGCCAGAGACAGGCTCTGATCTCCTTAGTAGGGAACATGCTTGGAGACCAAGTCTATGGGCTACATCTAAGTAGGGATTTTAGGTTCTTTCCATGCATGATCTTTGGTTCAGGTATCAGTCTCTGCAGGGCCCCCAAGGTACAACATTTTTTGACATTGTTCTCCTTTTAGAACTCCTCTCCCCTCCAGGTCTTTCTATCTCCCTTTTCTTTCATAAGATTCCAGATCTGATGAGATCTTATAAGCTAGGTTCAAATGGAAGGGGAGGAGGACCTCCCTTATCTATGGACTTGGAAAGGGCCATAGGAGGAGATGAGAGAGGAAGGGAGGGTAGGATTGAGAAGGGAGGTGAGAGGGGGCTACAGCTGGAATACAAAGTGAATAAGCTGTAATTAATATAAAAAATGAACATTAAAAAAAGATTCACTACACTCTGAATTGAGTCTCAATCTCTGCTTCAATACCTCATCAGTGGAGTCATTCAGAGGCCTTCTGTGGTAGGCTCCTGTCCTGTTCCCTGTCTTCTCCTGCTTCCGATGTCTATTGAGTATGCCCTTCTGAATGAGGATTGAGCATCTTCCCTTGAGTCTTGTTGTTTAGCTTCTTTACGTGACAACACATGTTTGAAAGGCTGTGGAAAAAGGGGAAAACTTCTCCATTACTCGTGGGAATATAAACTTGTACAACCACCCTGGCAATCAATCCGGCACTTTCTCAGAAAATTAGGAGTAGTGCTACCTCAAGATCCAGCTATCCCACTCCTAGGCATATATCCTAAAGATGTTCAACTACACAATAAGGACATTTTCACAACCATGTTTGTAGGAGTTTTATTCGCAATAGCTAGAATCTGGAAACAACCTAAATGTCCCTCAACAGAGAAATGGATACAGAAACTGTGGTACAATTACACAATGGAGTACTACTCAGCTATTAAAAACAAGGAAATCATGAAATTTGCATGCAAATGGTGGGAACTGGAAAAGATGATCTTCAGTGAGGTAACCCAGAAGCAGAAAGATGCACATGGTATATACTCACTCATAAGAGGTTATTAGACATATAATATAGGAAAATCAGTCCTACAGGGTTTCAGCTGTACATTCTTTGCTCTCATAAGAGAAGGGAAAGTTAAAGCCAGTTTAAATTTGGTCATCAGAATTCATATCTGCCTGAGTCTAAACTAGTGGTGTCCTGATTCCCCTGAAAGATTCCACCAAGATTACCAAGGTCTGCTTTGTCAATTGTTTTTCTGAATATAAATACTAATAAACAGTAT